GCGGTGCGTGCTGCCGTGCAATGCGTGCGGTGCACGCTACTGCCTGGCGGTGCGTGCTGCGTGCCATGGTGCCGCTATCGTGCGGTGCGTGCAGCGCGTTGTCGGGCGGTACGTGCTGCGCGCTATCGGCCTGCTGTGCGGCGCTGTCGGGCGGTGCGTGCTGTTGGGCGGCCCGCTGTGTGTGCTACTACCTATGACTGCGCCGCAGTGCGCTGCTGGGTGGTGTGTCCATAACATCACACCCCTCCCGGACTACGAGCTTGTCCTCAAGCTCGAATTGGGTGTCGAAACACCCTCAAAGGAATCCTGGGTAGCTTTGCTCTCTAGGATCGGGTTCCCATGGAGGGGGTTCATCCTCCTCTTCCTCTTGTTTCACCAGGAGGCAGAAAAGTCTCTTGCACCTGTGCCCTGCCGAGTAGAGTTCATCGCAATTAAAACATTGCCCCCTCGCCCTGCGCTCTGCCATCTCAACCCTTGACAAGTGCTTGATAGGGGGTGTACCGCCGCTGCTCCCCACACTGGATGCTGATCTGGAATTGGTGCTCGTCTGTGGCTTCCGTTCTAGGCTGGCTGTTGGATATGGAGCCATTCCGAGTGGTTCTCTGTTGGCTGCTAGCGAAGACCCTCCTCCAGTAGACTTCGGGTTTGTCCAAGCCGCTGCTAGGCATCCCATGCTGAACGGCCCTCAGCTAATCTGCAGTTTGCGCTCGATGGCTCGGGCTAAATTCATTGCCGTGACCAGGTTAGGCGGGCTCTGCATCTCTACATCAACTCTCAGGGGTTCGGCTAGACCAGCTATGAACATATCCACATTCTAGTCTGGGCGTACTGAAGAGGCCCTGGCGAGAAGGGTCTGGAACTGCTGCTGATACTCTGCTACGGTACCAGTCTGCTTGAGATTAATGAGTTCCCCCAAGGGGTTGTTTGTTAGTGGGGGTCCGAACCGAAGGAGGCAATACGACTTGAACTGCCCCCAACTAAGACCTGGTTCCTCCTACTCCACTCGGTAGAACCAGAGCTGCGCTTCTTCGGTCAGGTGGAACGCGGCCAAGCTGACCTTGTCCTTGTGCACTGGTTGCGGAAGAACTGTTCGCAGCGGTGCAACCATCCCAGTGGGTCTCTAGCGCCGTTGTAGGATGGAAATTCTAGCCAGCTGTACTTGGGAATAATAGCGGCTGTTGGGGCAGCGGTCTGCTGTTCGCTGGATGTCTCCGCCCCGTCCGGACAGCGGCTATTGGTGGTGGCGGTTCCCTCAGAGCTTCTTTCGTTGTTGGAGAGGAGCGCTTCTAACAGGCGCCGCAGCTCTCGGACATCATCCTTGACCTCACAAACTTCCAAGCAGGTTTCGGCGAGCCTATGCTCTAGCTCGTGGACCCTGGAAGACAACGGCTCCTGTTCCCCCATGACGGTAGGCTCTGATACAAAAATGTTATGGGCCCGAGCATAGGATCGCGTCACGGGTCGTTCCACGGTAGGAACCCCTGATCTTCCCTTGCCTTTGGCCTTGCGCACAGACCCTATTTTGCCTGTCTAGTGGGTGATTTGTCCAAGAGACCACCCAAACTCTCATCACTCGTTTCTTGACTGGAAAATTGAATGCCTTCTTTCAATTCGTAGCTCCTTAAATAGGAGATTACAGAAGAGAATTCCTTGTTGGATTCGGCTAGGCTAGGGTAATCCAAATCAAACTAAAACTCATAACTCTTACTTAAGAAGATAAAATAAGATAAGGATAAGATAAGGATAAGATAAGGGATAAGGGATAAGATAGGGATAAGGGATGAGGGATAAGATTAAGCTGGCAGCGAGTTGACGTGTCCAGATAAGGGTGGGCCCACCCCTATGAGCTGTCGTGTGGGCCCCGCTCTACTACTGCTGCCGGGTGCGTGCGCGCGGCTCATGGT